GACCTGCCACGCCGCACGCGTGCTCGTACGGCCACCGAACGTTTTCAGTGTGCCTAGTTATAATAAATTATATTTCATTTCTTCAAAACTAGAAAAAATATTAAAAATCAGGAACAACTATTAMCAACTAATAAAAATTATATTTACGTAAACTTTGAAAAAATCTAATGCAGATTTTTTGTATGAGTATAAAATCATTTAAAAATTATGGTTAATCCCTTTAACATTTCCTAGTGAAACAAAACTTGATACATTTATTAATTTAATATGAAACTTTTTATTTTACCTGTATAATATTCTACAGATAATCTTGTAAGCATTTATTGTGTATGTGTGCATAAATTATACAAGTTAAATATTGCCTTTGCAGCAGAGATCTACAAAAATAAAATAATAAATAAATGACTTTTTTAATAATCAATAAATTAAGTATACATATTTCTTTTATTGTTTTAAATATGATCATAAATTAATAAAGCATAATTAGTTGATTTATCCCATTTATAAAAATAAAAACCGTTATTATAAGCAAATAAAAGCTTATCTGTTATAGCATAATAATAATAATTTCGTAGCATATAAAAGGTGATTTTAAACCATTTAACTTGGTATTTCATGGTGTGTTAATCTGTTGGAGTTAACCATTTTCAAACAGGTAATTGTATTATTCAGTGCCTTTAATATTTAAGTAAGTTGTTGATTTCATAATATGTTAATATTAATAGAATATTAATATTATAAATATTATAATAAAGTAACATAATATTATTTTTAATATTTAAAAATCGTTATATTGTTTTAGTTTATCAAAGTTAGGTATTTCTACAACCTAAAAAAATGGCTAGTGATGATGGTAAGTACCTACCTATATAGTTTATATCGTTTCTTGATTTTTAAAATTTAAAATCGCAGTAAACTCTTTTTATATTTTCTGAATTTTTTGAACTTAACAATTTCTTGTTTACTTCTGTAACTTTATAGTGGTTCAGTTTCCTGAGGATTTTTTGTTTGGAGCCGGATCTGGTGCTTATCAAATTGAAGGTGGATGGGACCAAGATGGTAAGTGTTAATTTTTATGGTAAATTTAATACAAGATATAACACTTAAGTACTATTATCTATTAATAGCATTTAAAAATACGGCATATTMAACAATGCTTTATAATATAAATTATAAATTAAAATATATAAAATGGTTTAAACTTTAATCATTCCTTACATTCAGCAACGTTCTATTTTTTTACGTATATTTTCTAAATTAATTTAAAAATAATAAAATTAAAATATAAATAATAAATCAATCATAACATTATTATACCTTTGTAAAAATTTTAAATTTTAATACGAATATTTAAGTAACATCGAGTGAATATTCTCAAAAATTGTATTATAATTAAAAGTATAAAATTAAAAATAGGCAAATAATAATAAAATAATAAATACCGAGCAAAAGTATACAAAAATATACATGTTACCTACATAAAGTTTATATTAAAATAAGGGATATAAAATTTTCAAATTCTTGTGAGATAATTAGTTGAATCTTACTTTAGTATAATTAGATTTTATTAATAAAAAATTGGTTCATCGAACTAAGCTCTTAATATATACATTTCTCAATTAATAAACTCCACCGAATAAAACTGTAGCATAATTATTGATATTTATATCACCCTTATCATTATGTCATATTGTTTACGAAACTTGCTGTATTATGTTCAATACATTTATATTACTATTTTGTTTTACAGGAAAGAGTGCTAGTATCTGGGATGATTATTTCCACACTAAAAACATTGTAGTTTCCAATCCCAAAGTTGTTCACTTGGGTCCCAAAAAGAAACATACCAGTTTTCACAGAGGTACAGATATTCATGAAAAAGATCCAACTCGTGGTTTCTCACTTGTCAATGGAGATATTGCTTGTGATTCTTATAATAAACTTGATGAAGATATTAATAACTTGATCGAACTTGGAGTGAGTACATGGAATTATTGAGCTAATTAAGAACTATATGAATTTCCCTCATTATAAAAACATAAACTCACTTTGTAGTAAAATTACTTACACCAATCACTATAGAATATTTAAGTTTTTTTTTCTATGCACTTTAAACCCCTGTGAGCTAAACATTTTTTTAAATTATGATAATTTACTCAAATGTCACTTTTATATATTAATGAAAATAATTATTTCTATAATCTATAACATTTTATTAACATAATTAACTGAAATATTAAACCATTTATTTATTAAATAATAACTTATAAAATGATAAATATTATATATTATTAAATAATGTGTATTTTTTTTAGCATAAATAATTTATGTTTAACACGATTTGATTATTTATGTGTTATATAAATGATGTGAATTATATTTTTCAGGTTGATATCTACAGGTTTTCCATAAGTTGGCCAAGAGTCTTGCCAAATGGCGATGACCGAATCATAAATGAGGCTGGAGTTAATTATTACAAATCGTTAATTCAAAAATTGTTGGATAACAATATTACACCATTGGTAAAGTATTATAATTTAAAACCATTCTTTGTTGAGTTTTAAACACTGTTATTTAACTAAAAAAATCTATTTACCTACAAAATAAAATATTAAGTTGCACCAAACAAAGTACCTAATAATAAAAATAATAATAAATCAAAAGTTTAACTTAGAAATGTTACCTATAACTATAACATATTATTTGCACGAAGTTTTGTTAAAAATATAATATAATTATTATTTAATAACATCGTATCTTGATGATAACTAAAAATAATTAAGACAAATACAATCAAATAATTGTTCCGATATTCAAAATATAAATGAACAAAATATTACGTAGGTAGTGTGTGTTACTGTTTTATATTAATTGTGATTAATTTAATTTTCGTTCATTCTCGTATTTTTGATTTGGTATTATTTTTAATTTATCAAATTGAGTTGAACAATTTGTGTTTAAAACCAGGTGACAATGTATCACTGGGATCTACCGAACGTTCTTCAGAACCTTGGTGGATGGTCGAATCCAAACATTGTAGAGTATTTCGTAATTTACGCAAATTTTCTTTTCAAAACATTTGGCAAACAAGTGAGTAACAGCCATTGTTGTGTATGGATGACTCAGCATGAGTGATTTTTTTTATTACCCAACAATTATATATAGGTCAAACTGTGGACTACAATTAATGAACCCAGATTCGTGGCCCTGGCTTATGGTAATGAGAACATTGCTCCTAGTGTTGGTGAATTATTCAACGGTATTGCTGACTACATGGCAATTCGTAATGTGTTGCTTTCCCACGCAGCAGTTTACAAGTTGTACAAGAATACATACTTTTCAGAACAGCAGGGTTAGTAAAAATAACTTTTTCACCACAGTGTGTTTATAATAGTTGCCATGACACATGATTTGAATTAATTAAAGTACTTAGTGATACTTCCTTTGTCTTATGTCCTATAATCTGTAATATTTTATCGTACAATTATTATGTATCGGACAGCCTATAATGTTAATATGKATTGCACTAAATTATATTAAAAAACGGCATAGTCAAAACTTTTAAATTTAATAGGTGAGATCAGTTTGTGCTTTGACACAGCGGCGTATTTTCCAGTAAATCCAAATTCAGAGGAGGACAAATTATGTGTTTCAAAATCATTTGATTTTTCGGTACTAAACAACTTATAATCTAAAATATATTTGTGTATTTAATAATAGTAACTTTTTATTTACAGCTTGGAGTATTCACTCAACCATTGAAAAACGGCACATTTCCACAATCGTTGTTAGATGGTATCGCTAAAACAGACGAATCCGAACATGTATCTTTAAAGCGTATCGTTGAATTTAGCGAGACTGAAAAACAAGATCTCATAGGTAATACAAAATTATTTCAAACAGATATTGTTATCTTTACACCTTACACTTATTAAAAAATTAAAAATGTATACGATATGGTTCTGTAGTACAACTCTTAGCATCATATTACTCATTACTATCATTTATTTTATATATAATTTTTTCTTCGGCTAATTGATGTAACGACATATGTACATTATAATTATAATTTTTACTTCATACAAGATGTCCCACGAGGATTTACTCATTGCAATATCTCTTGAGATAAAAAGTATATCATAAATCTATTATTTTTTTTTTTTATTAGACTCATATAGACAAGGGATACATGTATTTTATTTTTTAATTAAATTAAATTTTTGAGTAAAAAAGTTTTAAAAAAATAGCTTTTTATAGAGTTTATTCTTCTGAAAATGTTGGCCTTTCTATATTTTATTGCCATTTATCACATGGTTTTTAATACATTTTTTAGTTTATAGATAAAGTGACAAAAAACTGGTTTTTTGCCGGGCGGCGAATCCCACTCTATGGTAAATGGATATATCCTCACGGGACAACCTGTATTTATGTATCATATTATTCTTGATTGTATAGTATTGTTAAATCACAGTGAATTTAAAATAAAATTATAATGAATAGGTGCTGAATAAGTAATAAAAAGATACTCTTAAGTCTTAAACATTTTTATATTCTATCGATATCAGTGTACTATTATAAGATTTTTTTTAGATGTTTTAAAGATTAGTTGTTTTTTAATATTTACTAATTATTCATTCATTTCAATAATTTAATACATGATACTATGATATAATGGGTTGTTGGGAATTGGAATATTTTAAGACCAACATTTGAAATGCATGTTATTTATTTCAGGATCGTATGATTTTATTGCTTTTAATTATTATGATTCATACAAGGTAAGACCAATGACTGAAGATGAATATGCAGAAGAGAAATATTTACTGAATAAGGATTCTGGAGTAATATCTACTTCAAATGCAAACAATATGGATGATGTAATATTATTATAAAAATATTTGGTTCTGTGTAGTTCATTATATTTTAATTTTTAGACTTTTAAAGGATTTACTCAAGTAGTTGATTGGCTTGTGGAAAACTTAAACAATCCGAAACTGTTTGTAACTGAAAATGGAATTCATGAGAAACCAAATGTAGATGAAAGTGAAAAAAAAATCAAATATCATCGTGTAAGTTATAAAGAAGTATATTCTTGAAACAAATATTAATTATATACAATTAAATTCTAAACTAATATACATCCTAAATATATAATAGTAAACAGTATAGGTAACTACTACTTATTTGATAATAAATCATGTATTAATATTTAACAGGGTATTTTGACAGAACTGGATAAAGCCTTAAAGAAAGGTGTTGTAATTAAAGGGTATTGTGTCTGGTCATTTATGGATTCGTTGGAATGGTCAAGTGGATATTTTAAGTAATTCTTTTACCTATATCAGTGAAATTATATTTTATTTACACTTGCTTAATTATGTTTTGTTTTTCTAGTAAATTGTTTGGTATATATTCCGTGGACTTTAACGACCCAAAAAGACCCCGTWCCAAAAAGCCATCGTTTGAATTCTTTAAAACAGTGTTCACAACAAAAGTCTTACCACCTATCGAATCCAATTAATATGTCTATGGAAAAACGGTTTGTCATAAAGGGTTTAAATAATTGTCAAAACTTTACAATTTTAAAATTTAGATTTAGTTTAGTTCGAATTATTTCTGTAGTCGAACGTTTAATATTATACGTAGTATCATATAGGTAAAAATAATGATTGTATAATTTAAATATTTTATTTTCTCTCGACACTCAAAATGTTAATATTTATGTTATTAAAATAAAAAGTATGCAACATAATATTATATTTTATTAATTATTCTTGGTCAAACTTTTGTTAATGGTAAATTAAATCAATAAAGTCTTATTTTGTGGATAATTTAATTATAATAATTAATTTTTTTTTTTTTTTGTCTTCGTTCAGTGAATGTATATTTTTTTTTAACGAAACGGCAGATAAATAAAATAACGTAAAAAAACACTACGTATCTATTCGTTCATTAAATATGGTTCATTTTAGTATTTTAAACCCACAGAAGAAAAATCTAGTTTTAGTGTAAATAATGTAGCTTAGAATAGAAAGATCGATGATCAGTGACTGCGTACCTAAAATTTTGATATGTTTCAAAAGTTTTAGTTTTTAACAACGGCAAATGAATTAATAATGGAAAGTAAACCATGTGAATAATTAATTTATTTCTAGCAAGACAATCATCAAGTATAGCATGAACGAAATCTGTAACCATGCATATATATTATAAATTACTATAGGAAAAAGATAAAATTCAGAACAGAAAATTGTGTTAAAAAAATTGTAGAAATAACTAAAAAGCGGTTCTTCAAATTTATTGAGAAAAGAAAAGATAAATTACTATAAGTAACTTAAAGTGAATCCAGCTAATAACTATAAAATGAATAAACCGATGTTTAAAATTTTCTGTTTTAATATTCATTCTGAAAATGTTATGGATTAATACACATATAATAACACACTACAGGGACGATTATGTATAAATATTTATGTGAATTAATCCGTTGGCTCAACTGCATCTAGCAACATCGGTTTAAAATATAAAATATTCAGTAAAACAAATAAATTAAGGTTACCTACTGACAGAATATTGTGATCTGCCAATTTAGTGCTATGAAAAAGTTAAAAGTTTCTGAAGACCAAAGTATAAACTCAGTACTTTGTAATTTGTATTACTCTAGTGTTATCTATAGATTAGTCGAATTATTTTCGACTTCATTTAATTTGTTAAGTAAGCCCCGTAAAACAATATAAAATTGTATATTAAGCAGTCGAAATATTTCAAGAATAACTAACACAATGTTTAAGACAGGTACAAAAAACCAAATAAAATATGAATGGTATCTATGGTAGGTAGATAAGTTACTTTAGATTTCAGAAAAAAAGCAATCGATAGATAGGTGAGCTTAATGGTTGATTATGAAAGTAATTTTTAATCAAATCAAGTATAGCTGGTGCATGGATAGTTGGATAGGTGACTGTACTTATGAATTTTAGAAACTTATCAATCATATATCGGAAAGTGATATATATATTATATATCACTTTCCGATGAAAAAGTAATAATATTGATATACATGCAGGTCAGGTATATTTAACCACTTAAGGAAAATTATATTTTATAAATTACGCTCTATTGCTGCTACGATTCAATGGAGGAAAGGTACGTAAAGTAAAAAGAAAAAACTCTAATGGATATCTAATATCGTTGTTATTCATTATTGCGTTGGGTATTATAGAAAATTCAAAATACCTGATTTCATGAATATTATGTACGAACTATCTAGTATTTGTAATACTAAATTATGTTTTACATCGTCGATCGATGAGTAGATGGGGAGTTATAAAGTTCTGAGAGAATTAATTATTGGCTAGAGGTTAGACGTATCTACCGAATACACAAGAAATCAGACTGGGGTAAACATTTAAATAATTTATTCTTGTTTGCCATACATCATATTAGAATTTAAACTGTTCATCATCGTACTTAGGTTTTAGTCAAACGAATAGATAAAACTATAATTACCAGGCACATCTCTTAGTTGCTCAATAAATCAAAATTGGTTTGAAAAAAAAAAAATTCAAAACAGTATGGCGAAATGTATTTATGTAAAAAAAATACTATAAATAATAATTATACACTTCATACATGATGAGTCAATAGACTAACGTACCTTTTATATAGCGTTATATGACTTTATTTTAGTACGTAAAATTGTATTATTCTTTTATGATAGTTTAAAATGTTTAGAAAAATTCATAAAGCGCTTAATAAAGTTACTGTTTATATGATTTTCAAAATATATTGGCACTTTATGAACTATTTATAGACATTTTTTTTTTCGAAATGACGTGTCGATTACGTATTTTTTTTACAAGTCATAAAAATTAAAAAATAATAATTATTATTATTATTATTATTATTATAAGTTGTTCATATAACTATTAAAATATACATCAAAAATAAACTATTACAAAAATTGCATATGGARCTGAATGTTAATGTTTGACTTAATTCGTTAAAATCATACAAATTTGGAAATTATTTTGCAGTAAAATAATATTTATAAAGATTTTATTTTTAACACTGCTGCTTCAAGTATACATATTATAGTCAGTAGATACAAAATTATAAATATATGTTAATTTTAATAATACCCGTATATTATCATACTATTGTATGTAACCTTGTATAATGTTTTTACTGCTATATTTTCACTAAAAATGTAATTATTGAAAATATTTTATAAAGTTATTTAAATTCAGTCAATTAAAAGAATAAATGCTCAATTATTTAATTTGATACTTGGTATTTTTTTAAACATAATAATATACGATTTTTTTTTACAGAGAATATAAGTTATATAGACATATAATGTAATATTTTGAATAATTTATAATTAGATTACGTTTAGTGACAATACTTTCCACCTATATCTTTGCCACCTATGCATTGMCTAATGCCATTATAAAATAATTATTTTTACACTAATTTTATTTTTATTTTATTATTGCTAATTAAAGTGTTCAAGACTTATTTCAAGTTATTCTTAACAAAATTAGAGTCAAATGCATTATTATTTACCAAGTTTTGATAAAGGTATACGTAGTTACATAATAYTATACATTTAACTTTGACTGAATAGAGCCTATAATCCACAATGAAATAGGTCAATATAAATCTTGACAACAAGATAAAAATACACTTCAGAAAACAAGTTAAAATTACAAAATATCTAGCTGATGTCTTATGAATGTTTATTTATCGGGGTGACATGTGGAATGTGATTACAATGAATATATGTRTGGCACGTACAGAATTTAACTGTGCAGTGCGCATTATTATTTATTCGTCTTAAATTGATATAACTATACGATGTTGAATATTAATTTATCTTCATAAAAGATAATGAGTAATTTTTGGTGGTGGGGGAGGCTGATCCTTACTAGCCCTCCCTTATTTGGCTTATATGATTAAAGGATGGAAATCAAAAACGTAGTATTGTCAAAATACTGATTTTTTAGGTGAAGCGATTTTCTGTTTCTCAACATTTTCAACAAAAACAAATTGTTTATAAATCGACGAATTATTTTTAAAAATGTATTTTTTTAAATTATACAATATAGTTTTTATGTTTGAAACGATTCAAATATGTTAAATATTCTATGATTATATTTTTAATTTAATTTCAAACTTAATTAAAATTTTAAAAATTGAATTTCATCACGTTTTGGATTAATTATTTTACTTTCCTATACACACAAGTTACAACACGGGTAATAGTACGCTTTAAAATAATTCACGAAAACAGTTCGTTTTGGTATACCTAGTTAATAATATTAGTGCCTATTCTTTTAAGATTGATAATAGTATAGTTTTGATTATCTAAATATCAATTTTATTCATGGAAAAGATTCGTTTTGGATCAACCTGTCTTTTTGAATAGCGGATTTTACCAGGAAATAGTACATTTTGTTCCATTATGACGGTGCCAATCGATTAATCGATGTTTTTTTCCATATTATTTCCATATTATGAATCTACATCCAACTCGATTTTGTCAACTTTTGGAAATTATACGTTTTGGATTATTATAACGAATTATTATGAGAACACTTTAAAACATAATAATTACTATTAATATTACAATCGTTGTATAAAATATTATAAAAGCATTAAAATAAACATTCACAAATTTATATTTTTTGGCATGGATTATAGTCATTAGTCAATACTTACCCAGTATAGCAATGATTATGTAAATCTTGTTCGAAGTGTTTGATCGTTAAAATTGCGTACTTAGTTTTCACAAAGTTACATCATTGATATGGTAGTTAAATTAAGTTGCTTTTACTTTTTATAACTTTTCTTTAAGTTCTTTACTTATTCATCTCTACTTTTAAGTATTTTAAGGACTGTGTTCTTGCGTTTTTTTTCATCTCGACTATTACTACAGACCGAGTTTCATCAAATAGTAAACAATTATTTCAATCGGTTTTAGTTTTGGCGGTGTTGTTTGCAGGCTTACGTTCGATTCCCTTACTCATTTATCAACTACTTTGCTTCTATAGATGCCGTTTCGGTCCAAATTAGCCGAACATTGCCACTCCAATAACGATTGGATGTTTTCAATTATTGCCCATATTGGCGGTGTCTTTAGTTTAATAGAATAAAGATTTTTTTAGGGTCACGTCTAATTTTTCCAACTGGTAACTTGTATAAATAGGTATATTCAATTTGCTAATTATATATGCATATATAGATATATAACAAAAAAAAATAACTCACTATAAGCATTTTGCGTTCGTACGACATCTCAAAGATTTTTTTCAAATATATTTTATTGTAACTAAATAAACCATATACATATATATATATATATATATATATATATATATATATATATATATATATATGTATAAACGTATTATCATCTACCTCGAATCTCGATACTTAAAATATTTAGGGTCAGGTATAATCCTCCATCAATGCGGATTTGTCCGCAACACTTCACTCACTGGATGATGTAGTATTATAATATGTAGGTATAGGGCTTATTATTTAAATTATATAGATACTTTATACTGATTTAAAATTTTGTTATAAAATTGCTATTCACTCTGTACATTTTATTGACATTATACAATTTACAAAGTTAGATAGTAATTATTCTAGTTCAACGAATTAATTTATTATCTTCAATAATTCAAAACGATGTA